CATTGCTGAACTCATGTCCAAGAGGTGTTATTGCAGACTGTTCCATGATTTATATCCTTTATGTACTAAACAAACTCTAATGCAACCATGAAAGAATGTGCCCAATCACCCCTCACCAATAATCTAAGCAATCAACAAATTATTTCCCAATGTACCTGTATCTCTTTACAATGTTTAGAGACTATTTGGCAGCCTACAGTGGTAAGCGTGCTATAATTACTCTCATGTTTTAGGCCGGCCTGCCACATACTGTAAATTTGAGCCTCACTCATGATGATATTTTCAGTGTGGAAAGCCCATCTGATATCTCCTTTTAGGAGAAATGCAATCATAAAAAAGTACCATAAGTAAAACCTACTGCTATACTGAATGACGCTTGCAACCATTACTCACTCTGACAGATCAAAGTCTCCCTTTTCTAAAATGTTCCCTATGAATTTATTTCTGTATACATGATCTTTCAGTGTAGACATATATGAGAAATTCTTCGCTTTTTGTGCAAGAAATATTATCCACAAGCCCTCAAAGTACTTTACACACAGATTTAAGATTCCATGTGCTTATAAAGCAATAAAAAGAAAGCACACTGATCTATAAAACGTACCTCAGTGAATTTTGGTCAACTTCTGGATTGATTAACCCCTGATTTTAATATGTTTTGAAAGAGCTTTGTGAGTGTAATGTTAATTAAATCCCCCATTCTTGTAACAGTACATATTTGTTATCAAGTTCAATTGATATTTTGTAATGCTTTTAGACCTTGTGCCACTTCCTTAAAAGTCATTAAAGCTGAGAGTCATTAAACACTGATGAATCTTGGCAGATTGTAAAGAATTGGTGGCATGCTGGTGTGGAAGTTAGACTCAAAATGGCAGACTAAGGAATCCTCAGGTACTTCATCCAAACAACCCAGGACAGCAAGGTACCAGCCCTGGACTTTATATAGATTTTCATGATTCATTATAATTCATTTGCCACAGGAATGACTTTGGATTCATAGCTAGTAGGTTGTGGGTTTAGGGTCCTGTTGCAGACACTGCTATAGTAATTTGAGTATTTTACCCCAGTTGCTACTGTCCACCCAGCTGTATAAGTGGGGACCAGCATTATTGTGGATAATCCCTGTGATAGACCGGTGTCCCATTTAGGGAGCATCATGTTCTCTCTAGGGCAGCATGGTGTCACAGTGGTCAGCATTGCAACCTTGCAGCACTGGGGCCTTAGGTTCAATTCCGAACCTGGGGTGCTATGTTCGTTGAGTTTGTATGTTTGTATGTTCTCCCCATGTTCATGTAGGTTTTCACAAGGTGCTCTTGTTTTCTCCCACAGTTCAAAGACATACAGCACTAATATGTTTTTACAGTTTTCTTCTGGGAGAGGTGTGAGAGCGTGTATGTCTGAATTTGTGTCTGTACGTGACTTATGATGGACTGGCGCCCCATCTTGAGTATTTCGTGCCTTGTGCCCATTGCTTGCTGGGATAGGCTCGAGCTCCCCCGCAACCCTGAATAGAATGAAGAGGTAAGAAAATAGATGGATGTATCTTCTTTCTTGCAAAGACCACTATGAGTTCTGTCATGATGAGCATTTATAATATGGACCGCACTGTTACCTTATCTTTAAATGTAACAATGGCTTTACAGTATTTTATCAAACATACATAATGTCAACAAATCCTAGACTAGCACTTCACCTATTCTGATTAAAATAGCTGCTTTCATTTGTTCTGTTTTACAGTATCTTGGTAATAAAGAAGTTATAGTGTGGCAAAAGTGGCATTACATGTCTCTTTATTGTTATTACATGCCAGGCGACCCTGAGAGCCATCCACCACTGGCACTTCTTTTACTGTGTGAATGAAAAGGTCATTCCTCCCCCTGCCTTTCCTTTCAAAACAGATCTTTTTGCTTAAAGCAATACAAAGTTGAAGAAACCGCAAAAAGTATCAAAACTGAATGTTTTATGTGTTGATAAGCACCTGTGCTTTTTTTTCTGAATATCTAATACTTCATTTTAAAAAGCAGCGATTTAAATGGTTGAACAAATCAGTTTCGAACTCATGTACTAGCAAATGTACCACAGCTGTACATAATCGTCAGCAGAAGCTCAACAGTGGAGGCTAAAACTACTTTGGGGAGATTTCAGTTTTAACTGTAGTGAGAAATTCCCTAGTGTTTTTAATTGCTTCCTTTTCAGTCTGAACTTTATCTTACAGTATTACTCACTGACAATGAGAATCTGACAATCTTAAATACAGAGTGATTTGTGTGTGATTTCTGTTCACCGTATAGGGTAACTGGAAGAAGTTATATGCTTTCAACAAATGAATTCAATCCTATGGAGCTTCTAGATATGTAAAGGATTATCATTCTTTAATTTAAGGAAGTGTGATTGCTCATTGTACACATTTCAGTTTTTTACAGTACCACTGCATGAATTTGATCTCTTTCTAAGGTAATCAGATAACATTTAGCTTGTAATGACATATAATACATGGTTTCACAAACTGATAAACATTCTAATCAGGGAGTCAATACATTTTAATTAAATAAAAGTTAATGAAATGTTCTGAGAACATAGACCAATCAAACAATCTGAAGACAATTCCTGCCATTAAGAGCTAGCAGTGAACAATGTATCAACCCTGAGATTCAGGGGAGTGCAAAAATTCTGTTCTGCAATAAATGAGTTTTAACAGGTGTCTTCCCATGTCAAATCTGGGAGTTTAAAGCATATTAAAATATTAAAGGAATCTGTCTAAAGTAGCATCAGCAATCTATTTATCCTGCTGAGGGCTGTGGCAAGCCAGCACCTGTTCCAAAAGCACAGGGAGTAATGTAGGATTGATCTCCACCGGATGAGATGCCAGCCTATCACAGGGTCAGAGACTAAACATTACTATTTTAACTGTTTATAATAAATCAATCACATTTGGAAGGAGGCAGTTAGTGTAGCACACTACTCTATACTCTATACTCTATACAGAGACACCTGAGACTGGAAATCAATCCAGGCTCCTGAATCTATAAGGCTGTAGTGGGAAGTTCAATCAATCAACAGATTGATCAGTCAGTCAATCAATCAATCACATTCAATCTTTTATTTGCTATAGAGTCCTTTGCAACAGCTTGCTACAGAGCACCTTACAATTTTGTATAATACTGCAAATTTGACCATTGGGGCTAGGAAGAGAAATTAAACTTGAAAAATGAAAACCTGGGGGGTCCCAGGCCTGATTTTTGACACTCCTCCAGGCAATATGATCTGTGGTACAAGTAAAGGTAAAGTCCACACAGCCCCCACAGCAAGAACTGATGCCTTAGCTTTAAGCACTAGCCTTTGGCAATGAGTCCAAATGCTTCCCCATTACACTGTGCTGCTCCACTTCATTTAAAGATTGTTTAAGTTTGTTCAGACAAGAGAACACAATCTATGAAAAAGGGATAGTGAGGAGACAAAGGGAGAAGGAGATCACAAAATGAGAATCCCGCTTTTCAAATGTGCTTTATTATTGTACTCATTACTTCCTGCACACCATTATCTCATGGGTGTCTGTATGGTATGATATCACCTCTTTTTTGTTACATTTGTAGAAAACAAATGGCTGCACACAAAGTAAGGGGAAATTAAGCATAGACAACATGACCTAACCAACTAACATAACTTTGGGAAATTGGGAAGTAGAAAGAAAACACTGTCAAAAGAAAACCAGGTAAACACAGGGGAATGTGCAAACTCCACAAAATGGACCCCTGTAGATTGTAACTCTTCTATGGTAATTGTGTGTGATGTTGCACTTCTCTATACCTTGGCAAATTCCTGTCTACAGATAATGAACGTTTTTAATCATCTATCCATCTTTTGTTGTCAATTATGGTTTTGCAATGTATATTACGTACTAATGTGCCATTGCAGTTCTTTCTAATTCTAAAATTTTGCTTTTGGCAAAACAAGAATTGTTGTTCACAGTTATTCAGCTCAGATGACAAACAATACAAAGATCCAAGGGGGTTGATGGAGTTCCTAAACCATTGATCTACTACAGTAGCAACCAAATGAGCAGGGGTTCTTATATTTAGTAGCCAGGGTATTTTTTCAACCTATATGAAGTCATTGTGAACATAGTAAGCAAATAGAAAGTGGTTTTTAAATTAGACCTTTAACAGTTCCTACTTCACAAACTGGTAAATTGCACTTGTGCTAAATTCTCTGTAAACAGCATTTTAAATGATATTTGTGGGTGACAGTTTATTTGGAATTTGGAATTTGGATAAGTGTGAGTGTAAAGGGAGTTGTTTGCACTGCATTAACAGAGAGCATAACAGCAGAATGGTCCAAGCATATGGTTTACACATTCTGTGAAGACCACTGGTCTGAATAAGTGGAGCACATCACCAATATGCTTTCCTTGAAATCTGTCATCACATACATCTACGAGTAAATGTGTAAATAGCACAGCGTCAGAATTTCCCTTATGTGTGCTGTGCTTGTAATGAGTGGTAAATCATGCTTGTAAACATCAAACATCTGTGAGTAATACAGGGCAGATTCCATTTTCTAAAGACTTTGACTATAAAGTTTGTAATTATGAAAAAAATAGACCCTCGTAACAGTTATGTTAATATACATTTTATCTTATGTCTTAAAAATCCTACACACTCAGAATAATTTTGTTAAATCTCAGAGGTATTAGGATCCCGATATACTGTACAGATCGATGGGATGCTGAAAGCCTGGAATAAACTTAAGTAACACTTCTAATTGTATTCATTACTTAGCATCCAGGAACTGCAAATAGAATCTGTACAGTATTATCTTTGGTAGCAAAACAAGTACATAATGTAATTCCACCACTAGGGGGTATGATCACACAAAAAGCGTTGAATTTCAAATTTAGTAATGGGTTTTTAATATCCATAAGACTGAGCTCTTAGTTAGTTGATAATGATACTTTTTAACTTGTTTAAACACTAAGACCTTGGTTTCATGAAATGCCAGGCTGTTATTTTTGTCAGTTTATTGTTACCAAGAAATATAACAGTGAGAACTCCACTTAGCTGGTCATTTATTTTGTACAGCTTGGTCACAAGTGATACTGACACTGCATCAGCATTCCTTCAATAATCTTTGTTCTGCCTTAGTAGAATTTCTTACAACACAGACACTTGGATGGGAGAAGACCAAGACATTGTTATAAGGTTGAAGTTAGCCTAAGTAAATAAGAGGTGAGTTGGAATGAAAATTGTAAGATGAAGATGTTTTCCCAGACCTGAGTTAAGAGCAGATAAACCCAGTTAGAAAACCCAGCATGCATACTTTACACATATGTCTCTGCTGTGAAGATGCTGTTAAAACTCCACACTCTACAATGCATGAAAGCAGGAAATTCCCATTTCAGAAAACTGTTTAAATATAGCAATTCTCTTGCATTTAGTCAGTGTCTTTAATGCATGTGTGCTGAAACTCACTCACCATTTCTAATACCAACATATATTACATTTTGTAAAATATCTGTTGTAGTAATGCACACTTTAAATTTGGCACAAGCATACAAAGTATACAAATACTTATAGATGAAAACAATAGTGATGTATAATAGAATGTTACTATAGAAATTTGTACCCTCTCCAAAATACAGTTTTAGATAATAGTTAACATGCAATTTTCCACTGTACTGTAAAAAAATAATAAACAATCATTATAACTGAAAAATGATCATTGTAATTGTCAGATATAGTCTGTTTTCTGACTTGAGGACATTTAAAAGCACTTTTAGTACAATGACAGCGTTCCAGTTTTTGAATATGTTTTATGCTGCTGTTTGGAGACATTGAAGGCATCTGTTTAGTGCAAACACAAACAAAATAAGAAGGACTTAAATCAAAACTCTGCATGTCAGCTTGTAGTATGAACTTTATGAACAAACATGCATTTCTGAGAAGGGAGGACAAGGGAAATCTGGACAGCTATATAAAAGCAAGGTTAGACTGCACTGGAGAAGTGATTAAACTGTGGCTACTCCTAGCCTAATCTGGTACAACCATTAAAAATTACATCTTCCAACACATTTGAAATACTGTTATCTATATCATTATATTATTGCTATATATTACTGCTTATTACAGTATATTACTGCTTGTTATATAGTGATAGTTGTACAAAATCTGCTTTCCAGGCTGTAATTTTGAAGTTCCTGTAACAGAACAGCCACATCTGGGGGGCAGCATAGAGACACTCCAGAACTGGAATGAACTGGAGTTACCTGGCTCCTAGTTTATTAGGAGATTGGCTTCACCTGTTTGAGAGCCAATTCGCTATTTAAGAACTCAGAGCGTAGACAGAGGTTGAGAAGATCCTTGCAGTCTTACAGATGTGAGAAACTTGATTTCATGGTGAAATTATTTGTTATTAATGGAAGGTTCCAGATTATATAGTTTGATTAGAAACAAAAACACACCTTAAAAGATCACTAGCTCTTAGTAAATGGTTAGCAAAAACATGGAAAGGGGTGACATCAAGCAGCACCCTTGGTTGGTGCCATCTTGGCCCGCAGCTCTAATAACAAAGTCTGTAAGAGCAGGACTGCCCAAGTGGGACCGACTGGATCGAGGTTTTAATTAGTTTTAATTACATCAGGGTTGGTCTGATCTCCACCTAATTCCTGTTAAAGGGGGTTTTATGTGTAGATCCTCTATAACACGCTACCAATCGAAGGGGGATCTGGCACAGTTCCAAATTTAAGATGAAAGTGTCAAGTGTTGATTTCCTCCAAGATATGGGTATTCAAAGTCCCAAGGGGATATTTCAACATGTTTTATTCAGTCTGTTTGGGCTGTGTGTATCTGAGGCTCTGAATGTGAGATGGCAGTTTTATCCTAGGGTTCAAGTTCACATGTTCATAGCTCATAAGTCAAGTTCTTACAAAAATCAATCCTTTTGAAGAAGGGAAATTCATGAAGGGAAGGACTGTTCTAAAGAATCAAGGCCATTCTGTCACTCACAGTGTACTGGCGCGTCCCTCAGTACTCTGCAAGACAAAATGTACAACTTAAGACAAATATGATTCTACGTTTTTAGATAATTTAAAAGTGAATTTGAAATCTTCTTCTTGCACAACAAGACACAACAACCCAGGAGGAAAATGCAAGAAGGCAAGAATCCATAGTGACAGGAATATTTCAGAAGAAAATGTGAGAAACGTTTCATTTGCATTACTCAAATTTCACTCATACCTGCATGGTACAGTATGTGGTTTGTGCTAAAATGCATTTTGTGCTATTTGTAATTCTTGATTGTAGACTTTGTCAGTGGTACTAATGTAATTAGGACAAAAAACAGAGGAGCCATCTGTGCCTTCCTGGCTCTAGGAAAAGTAAAAGCAAGTGAGCCAGGCTGTACTGTTTGTTTTTGGTTATTTTACAGGTAAGTGGACATATTTTATGATCTGTAGAGCAAAACTGACATAAATATACAGTATCAGTGTTACTGAATGTTCATAACATCTTTAATTATTCAATATGAATGATCTATTACAGAAAAACATTTCTTTTTGTATTTAAGTTTATTTGAAATAATTTATTGCTGATGTTCATGTGAAATAAAATTGTTCTGTGAAATATTTGGAATTTTAATTAAAATTATTTTATTTTTCAAAAAAGCTAAGATATTTGTTTCAAAATTAAATGCCACTCTGTAGGCGCTTTGTGGAGAGAAAATCTCTGAGGGAACGACAATGCTAACCTTATTTAGATTATCCATTCTCAAAAAGCCATTTTGTTCTGATAAGGGTTGAGACAAACAAGCTGCGTAAATCCTGGAAGGACAGTGTGTGCAAGGTACACTAGGGCTAAATTGTCTATCACAGGGCACACTCACAAACAATTCAGAGACAGCAATTGGCCTAATCAGCATGTCTTTAGGAGGTGAAAGCACCAGAAACTTGTAAACTTCACACAGGAGGCAACTAACTAGAACCTAGCCTAGGATCCAAGAACTGAAAGGAAAGTTAAAAGTGTTTTTAGGTATTCAGGTATTCAGCATTTCCTTTTCTATTGTGTCTTAAGGTCTAGTTTTGCCATTTTTTGCCATTCTGCTCTCCTCCCCACTGATAGCTGATGTGTGGTGAGCGTTCTGGCACACTATGGCTGCCGTCACATCACACAGGTGGATGCTGCACATTGGTGGTGGTGGAGGGGAGTCCCCATTACCTGTAAAGCGCTTTGAGTGGAGTGTCCAGAAAAGCGCTATATAAATGTAAGCAATTATTATTATTAATTATTGTGGAGATCTTGATTAAAAGCCATAAATGAATGGAGAATTTTTTGGATATATTCTACAGTAACTGACACATATTTCTAGAAGCCACTGTTCCTAGATAATGAAACATTTTACTGTATGTGTACCATGAAAGTAGATAAACATATTTCAATGTAATAACTGTTTGGAATTTCGATAACCATTAAGACTTCAACTGGTACATCATTGTATTATTTTCAAGAGAGGTAGAGATGTATCGCTTGTCCTGTGTATTTTGGAAAAGCAGGAAACACAACAGGGAGAAACTACTAAATCATTTTACAGAACCCTTTTTATACACAATCTTTAGGGGAAAACTTTTCTTTTTCATTATGATGATGAAGAATATAAAAAAATATTATCAAAACAAGACAAATATATTGAAAATAAGACATAGGAGCTCAAAGTCATAGCATTTCTTATGAATGCTCTGTAAATAGTTTCTTACAAGATGTCCTTATTTGTGAACATGACAGTTTGTCATTCAAATCAGGCTCTCCGTCTCAGTTGGTGGAGGTTTGGCAGCTTCTTGTTCGGAGGTCATAGGCTTGTACACAAAATAATATTCCTTCTTGGGTTCACTGGGTTCGTGGAAGCTGGCTTTGATAGTGAGGGGCAGCGCATCAGGGGACAGCTGCTGGTATATCCCGTCTACAAGAACAAACAGCTGGTAACACTCAGGTTCCAGGACTTCAAACTTCTCTGCACATTGATTACACAAGTCCTGGGCTGTGGTGGTGGGTCTAGCCCCCAGAGTCTTTGTATTGCAGCCTGCATCCAGGAATGAGACATTGATGAAATCCTGCAAAGTTGAACAGAGAATGCAGAAGGACACGTCAGACAAAAACTAATGGTTTTGTGCATAAAATATCGCTTAATCATTGAAATTTGTAAAATACAAATACTGTTGATCATTTAAATCCAACATACAACACTTTTCTCACAAAGGTTTGATGCAAATGAGATAAAGCCATAAAAATTCAGTTGTGTATTTGCAACTGACATGAATACACATCTGCTGTGACACGATACAGCAGTAGTGTTTCAACAGTTCTGTACACCTAATTCCCTAATAATCTATAAGACCTACTATATTTATTGTACATGTTTTATACATACTGTATGTACTGTAACTACTCTAATACATATGTAACATCTCTTATAATTGATTAAGTTTATGAAGCTTGTGATCATATTAAAAGTGCTTTTGAGTGCCAAAACTATGATGACAGAACAGGTTGTCTTTGTCATTTCATTTCTAACTCACTGTAAAAGGCAAAGCGTTAAAGAAACCACATTCTAGGAATTTATGATCGGATCTTTAACAATTCCAACATTTTCACCATTACTTTCAAGCTAAAAGCTGCAAATGACTGTTTTACTTATAATAGAATACTGTACATAGTGCTAGGAAGTAGCAGGTTACATGTACTGTACAGTATATCTTTGTTATGCTGGGTGGTTATGTATAAAGTGTAGTGTTTCCAACCACCAAATATCAGAGCCAGTATCCAGTGCTGTGCTAGCAGTGCTCTCAGGTCAGTTGGCTCGAGGAAAAGATGCTCAAGATGCTGTTCCCTGAGGTTTAACAAAAGATCGCACAGATCCTGACTATCCAATTTTCTAAACGTTTGGTAACTGATGGATGGTCAGTAAGGGAGCATGGTGCTGTTTATAATAACTATCACAAACCATTTGATAATAATTCTAAAACAGAAAGAAGATATATTCATTCACCATTTCCTTGATAAGCTTAATGAACATCTCAATTTGTGCCATAATAGACCAAGTAAATGTGCGGATCTCCACACTGCCTAATTACCATGTGGCAGCAATGCTGTAATACAGTATGTAGCCCTGTTCCTTACAACATGTAACTTGAATATTTTGTTTTAAAAATTAAATAACTAAAAAACTGCCCCTGCTGCCATTGCATTGACACAAGGATGCAAAATGTAGTCTCAGCTCATAAAGCTTTCAGATGTTTTTCTCTATGAATTTATGAAAATATGCAATACAAGGTCTATGCTCTGATATTGCAGTGCAAAATAGACAATTGTTTATTGGTTAAAAGTAACCCTTCTCAATTGGACTACAAACTTTCTTTATTCTAATGTTTGCAATGCCTACCAACAAGGTTTTTTGAAATTATCCAATCAAAATCTCCATTATTCCAATTTGAGACTGCTTTTCCCTTTTTTTCCCAACGTAAATGTTATGTATTAAACAAAATAAGAAAACACAAATGAGTAGGTGAACAATTAGAAATCACTGAGTTGTACACCTATTCATGAAGAGTACCTGTACTGAAGTCCTGGACACCCTGGCCCTGTTGAGAGTCCGACGTCTTTCCCAGCGGTGAATAGAATCTTGTATCTCAAGACTCAGCTGCCTTGTAATTGATACTTTGTCATAGTTCTTAATGTGCTCTAGGGCGCCATAGGTTGTGGTTAAGTAATAAGACCCTGTCAACAAGAAGAGGCCAAAACAGTTTAAAATCTTCATCAGAATTGTGGTGGTTTTGTAAAATAATATTAATAAACTATTGAAAGCATTGTGTAGAACACTTGCATGTGTAGGGACTTAACCGTAAACTAACCTTGTTGCAAAACTTGTTTTTTGTTTTGCCTCAGTTTTTGTACTGCACTATGATCTTTTGTAAAATGTTGGTAAAACTGGTATCTGATAAAACTCGGATGCATGGTTGCTTCACTTTCCTGAGCAACAGTGTTTTAGCATGGCACAATTTGATGAAGCAGATAGCTACAGCTTCACTAAGCCTGAATAATGTAGTCATAGAAAGTGAATATTACAGTATTATATTACTCAAAGCTCCAGGCAAATGCCTTTTGAGATTGGCTTTCAGTGTTACTAGCTTGGAAAAAAAGATTAGTTTAGGCGTTTTACATGTATAAAAACAAACATATCATACTGAATAAGCTAATTCTTTCCTTTGCCAGCGATCACATTTAACAATAAATTTATTTTTATAATTTATGTCAGAGAGATACACAAGCTTAAAAAATGTTGTTACAGTACTTGCCCACTTCTAAAAATAAAAACTGGAAAAGCATCAGCCAATATTTAAGGTATATATATCTATCTATCTGTTAAATATGCTAAAACCTAGGAATAAACCTAGGCATATAGTGCCTTGCAAAAGTATTCATCCACTTTTGATGATGTCCCATATTCATGAATTACAGATGGTGTATACATCTCTTTCTCAAAGTAAATATTTTTTTATCATAACAAAATACTCAAAGTAAACATTTTAGTAACAAACTGCAAAGAAAAATGAAAAGTAAAATATGATGAATGCATAAGTCTTAACCCTCTTTGCTAACCTAATTCCTAAAACCTAATTCTGCATGGAGTTTGTAACAAAGCACTTAAGCTTTTAATACAGTACTGCCAATGTAGCAATAGGATTTGTTGTCTGACTAGGCAAAATTAAAGTTTCAGGCCTAAATATAAAGTGTAAAGTAAGTGTTAAGCCTAAGTATAAAGATTTGGAGCAAACGCAATGCAGCACATGATTCTATCAGTCCCAGCTACTTCTCATTAACAGCTACTTCTCACTAACAGGGACTGGGAAGATTTATTTTTACAGGACATTGTAAGGACAGAGAACTGAATGACTTTCTTCAACGATAACACACTGAGAAATTTGGAGGCATATTGTATGCATGCGACCTTTGTTCATGTTTTTGTTATAGTTATTATTTTAATTATATTTAAGCTTTGGTGTAACAAAATGAAACAATTCATTGGGGCATAGGGTAATATGGTTTTGTTTAATTGTTAATGCACTGTGCAGACATTCTGTGGGACTTATAGATTAGTTGTATTTTGATACATGTTTGTGGTTTAATTAATCAACAAAATGAATGTCCATTTCTTTAAAAAAAGCAGTTATTTATGTGTTCTACCTTCTCCAAGTTGCAAAGCAGGGTCCATGAGCTCCATCATGTACTCCACATCAAGCAGCATCGCACTTATATTGCTCCTCACTAACACATACATCAACACTGGGAGGAAGTCATCTGCACCATGGTGCTTCCCTGAATAAAAGATAATAAATTGCAGAATCTCAGCACTCCTGAATTCCTGTCTTATTTACACTCCGGGGTGCCATAATTTTGCACACAAAAGTACCTATACACCTATATCTGACATTTTTAAACCAACAAAACAATTTTGATATTTTACTGTGTCCAAATAAATGTCAGAAATGACAACTTCAATACCTTTAAAAAGATCAATACCTACTGTATAATGTACACTACAGGCAATATCAATGCAACTCTTTAAAGTAATATGTGCAGAATGACTAGAGTGGGGATGATCTTGTTACCTATCCAATACCAGGTAATTCCAGAATCACATCAAAACAAACATTTTCATCCCTGAATAACAGGCGCTCTCTTAAAGCACATCTACTGTGGACTTTGTAACAGTTTAGAACAAAGTACAGCACAGAAGCACTTTTCAAGCATCCACATGAAAAATAAAACTGTATTACCAGCACAGAAAAGGAAGCCAAGTCAATGAGGCCAGATTTGGAAAAGCAGGAAGCCTTTTCTTGGCTTCAGCCAAGTTTGGAACAGTAGAGCTCTACATTGTTTCTAGCTAAATCTATACTGTTTTTAGAAATGCAGTTTTAGAAGTGTCATTCATAGACCGCTGCTGATAAACAACCAAGACCCTTGGCCCTGAGAAGAAAGAGAAATGATCTAAGCTACTATTATTTTTGATCAATGGGACAAAAAGAGAAGTATGCTGTAGAGAAGTAAGAAGAAGAGAAGTTGATAAGAGCTAAATGTGATGCTGTAAGACTACAGATCTGCCACAGATACAGTAGGTGCATGCTATCATTCAAACTGTGCACACAAGATTATCAGACCCAGCATAAAATTATCCTTAACTTTTGCAAAGTTATTACTCTCGGGTCTGATAAAGTATTGAAAGCAAAAGTAAAAAAATATTACTATGCTTTAAAGTTACATTTAGACATAAATACATATATTACTCCCAAGAAATACCAAATGGAATCTCTTGCAAACAAATAAAATTGTGCATGTGCATTGCATGGATTTATATATTTTTTGTTGTCTACTTTCAGCAAAAAAGATGTTCAACAAACTATTGTGGAGTATCTTCAGTGTTTAATTTTCTCCACAACTTCTGTCTCTATGCAAACTTAATGCGTTTCTGAAGAATTTCTGAAGAAAAACCAAACCCTTCACATAATTTTAAAAATATTTTTTATCTTGGATTGAGAAAATTGATAATATCTTTACACAAATATTAGAGTTCTTCAGGTATGAATCTGTGTTGCCCATGACTTATTAAAAGTCAAATTTAGAAAAACATGAATTCAAATTCTTTGCAAGAAATAGGAATGTATGAAATGTGGTGTAGTGTGATGAAAGAAAGGACATTCTTATGTTAAACATACAGTATATTAAAATAACTATCAGGTGTAATAAGTCAGTCTGCTCTGCTCACCTGGACAGCCCACTGACATGGAGTCATAGATGATCTTGCAGGTCTTGAGCAGGATGGCAATCTTCTTTTCAGGGGAATATTCTTTGTGTAGGTTTGTAAACTTGAGGTGGATCTTCTCCATCACAGGGGTCTCAGGCACGCTGGTGGTCACCCCCATGTCAGTAGTGGTGGTGTTCAACACAACTTGCTGGTTGTCTTTCAGTCTTTTCAGAGATAAGTCCTTGGTATGGATGTCCTTCAGCCCATTGTAGATTGCTTCCCTTATTGGTTTCAGAACGCTCTTGCACAGAGCTGCCTCTATAATTGCTTCTGTAGATCACAACAGGAATGAATTAAAAAAGATGACTTAAGCAGTTCATATCAGTTTTAATACTGTAGACAAGTTTGGTCTCCGTGTTATAAAAACAATATTTCTGCTAAGGAATCTGTCTGGATAAGAGCAACCGCATACATTCTGGGACTTTAAGGAAGGTCCTACTCTGATGAACATTTTTATTCTGGAAGAGAGAGGACTATGACAGAATCCTCAAAGACACTGACCAGTCAAACCAGCGAACTTCTTTAGAAAGAATAGTGAATCAATTATCTACTATTCTTCAGATTACCATTCTTCAATTCTTCAGAAGCCTTAAGGATAATCCCCATACAAATTAAACACAACATCATACTAATCTTTGACAAGATGTCTCTAATGTCACTGTTACAAAGTGCAATGTGTAAATTGGTCAGTGCTGCTACATGCCCCTTTCTGGCGCAACTGCAAAATGTGACCCATGTCACTTCCTCTCACTGAACTTTGCACACTTCAATCATGGGCTACTTTTACCAGACCTTCAAATGCGTAAAACGGAACTATGCAAAAAATGAACAATGTACACAGAAAAAAAATGTAAATGCTAGAAAACAAAATACATCTTCTGATAACAGACCTTCCCAAGTAAAAGGGAGGGTTTAAAGTCAAGGTCTTATACTGTATGTGCAAAGTAACACATTTTATATAAAAAATAATATAAACATTATTTAGATAGATAGATAAAACTTTATTAATCCCGTAGGGAAATTGATTAAATTGATATTCATGGATATGTAAATTGTATATTTTATGTTTGTGTTTATTTACCCTTCTTTTGCATTAAAGCCAAGAACAAGGACTTCTTAACCCATAGGGTAAAATGGTCTCCTCTCATTTGTACCTCCCTTACCTATTCTTACTGGGGGCTCCTTGCTAAGAGCTGTTCCTAAGAAAGAGGAGACCCTTAGTCAGAAATGTAATAAAACCCCTGTATTAGTGGATGATGTTAAATACTATGAGGCAAATTGTATATATTAGTCTTTAGTTGAGTTTTTTATATATATGGTAGCAAAGGACAGGTAAAAGTTTATTCCTTTGCCTTCGGAACACAGCCAAAATGTTGTCTCTTTTCCTTTCAGCATAGAATAAACCAATTCCTGCTCTTTTTGCAGCCTATGCATGCTAACACAGCTACCTATTTGAACTTATATACTGTATGTGCACTTACAGTATGTCTATATCCTACAGTATTATAAGGAATTAGCATTCTACCAGCTAAAAATGATACATTTTAACTAAAAAATCTATGATCGACAAGTGGATGTGTTAAACCTATTAATACCCATCTGCCTCTATGGATGATTTTTTCATGTAAAGTTTAATATGGTGATGTATATTTATCAATGATTGTACTTGGGGGGGGGGGTAGTGAGTATGGGGATACTCACTGGTGAATAAAATTACACAGGTCGGGTAACTGATTTTTAAACGCATGAAAATATGAAGGTAAAGCATCATGTCATGCTTTTTTTCTGTGTAGCAGAGCTAAAACAAAGAATTTTCTTGTGCACTGTAAACCAAAATGTTTATAAGAAAATATTTGTCAAAACCTTCTTTTGCTAAAATAATTTCAAAGCATAATCTGCAAATGCTTGCCTCTTTGATGACACTCAAAAACAGATAAAAATAAAACAGGTAAAGGGAAGATTTACATCATGTTATGGTATGTGTCTGCAAAGCATTTTTAATATGATCAATAATCATATTACACTGCATGTCTGAGTAATGTCTGTCCATCCATTTCTAACTATTGTATCCTATACAGGGTTGCGGGGGAACTGGACCCTATCCTGGCAATGAAAGTGACATGGCATACATGCGAAAACTGGCCCTTGTGTGAGTACTGTATGTGCATGTTTGTGTCTGTGTGTGCCCTGTGGTGGACTGGCATCCCGTCAAGGGTACATCTTGCACAAACATGCACATACAGTACTCACACAAGGGCCAGTTTTCACATGTATGCCATGTATGTGTTTGGACTGTGGGAGGAAACTGGACTACCCAGAGGAAACCCACATTAACCCCTGTCCTTCAACTGCCTCTATTCTGCTTCCTACTGAGAACAACAGGTGCACAGTCTTCATGAATGATCTAACAGTAGTATTCATTTGATCACATTCACATACTGCTCTAATAGTTGCAGTTGCAACCTGTGGATAAGTACTTTGGTTTTAAACATGACCCATTTCAACTGTCTGTTTGCAAATCCCATAGTAATATGCTTCATGGAGGAGCTGCTATTGCAGAATGTTAGAACTGGATTGGCAGAGTTTCTTGAAAAGGATAGTGCACATATCAACATATTTTAACATGTAAAAAGCAATCCAATATTGCAGATTTTAAAGGCACAAGAAAACATGAATATACAGTTAAGTTCAACTTTTATAGTTGCAAAATAGAATGGTAAAGACTTTCTTAAAAGCCCAGGTAATGCCATTTGGTTTATTGTCAAGTCACAATCATATAACCATTACCCAGGGCACAAGATAATAGATAGTAAATAGCTCAAGATTATTGGAATCCACCCTCCTGAAATTTCATTTTTTGATAACCTGATAATAAGAAAGAAACCTGGGATGATGGGGAAAATAGTCATCTTTCAACTGTTACATACATAATCCATCAAAAACACAGAATGAGAACAAAATCATAAACACAGGACAGGAGGAGATTGTTACAGACAGAATAATTGGTCTCTGAGCTTTACAACTCCAACTACAAAAGGATAGTACCAGACAAGTCTATTTAGAACATACGGTATACCAACTGGACTTTGAGCGTCACACCCCCTTAGACCGGAGCTCTAAACATTACTCCACAGTTTCCAAAATGTGGTAACACAAAGGATTGGAGCTGTGTCACTGCTGCACATACGCAAGCAATGGTATAACAAGAAAGGGGCATGTTTAAGGAAACATTGTGATTTAATTCTCCACCAGCAAGAAATGCTCTCAAAAGGCAGGAACAGAAAGAACTACCGTTTGAGTAGAACTACTGTTTTTATTAAGTACATCTGAGAATCGTTTACTGACCTCCACTACCACCTGACATAAACCTCAATGAAATGTCAATACAGTATATAGGAAAAAAAAGATTGCAAGCATCATGTCATCTCAGAGGTGATTAAAATGGTAATGTGTCATCAAACAATAAATATTTTGAAGAAATTGTGTTACCTAGTTTTTCATCTGTATATACAGCAGTTTCCACAAGTCCCTGAAGCTCTGCACTTTGTATCAAGTAGCTCTTGAGCTGTGTCATCATCTGGCGGATCTCCTGGAGCATTTCTGTACTAGAAGAGTGTTTCTTCATAGTCTCCAGGGTGAAGGTTTTGTAGTCCGACACTAAGTTCCCAAAGTATGTGTCCTTGTCTCTAGCCAGCTCTACTATCTTCTTCTGTAGCTTTCTGTCGGCACTCAGAAAGCTTGTGAACATGTGGGAGATGTTGACCATGGACAACCGCTGCTTGGCTTTGTCTAACATGATGGTGGGGTTCCGCTTTATATTGCTTTGACTGTGGGATTCCATCTCCTCCTCTGTGCTGCTGGTGGAATATGAGTCATGGTCAAGAATTGTGGGGTTTCCTTCAGGCGAGAACAGAGAGACATCAGGACTTTTGAGGTCCATAGAATTCAGAGACTTTCGTACTGTGTTTGGCGTGCTGGAGGTCTGAGGTGAAAATCCTGGTTCATTCCCAGCTGTGGCATTAGGTGCTGATGAATTTGAACCCTCTGAAGTGAGTTCATTTACTTTCCCAAGTTCAGTATTAAGTGTCACTTGAGAAGGTCTCTTCTTCCTTGGAGGGGGAATTGGAGGCATCTTTTTCACTGACACAGGGGGTTTGACAGTTCCCAGTGATGAAGTTTTAGAATCATTCTGTGCTGGTTTTGTTACTACCAGGGCTTTCTCTGACTGAGCGTCCGCCATTTGGGTATCTTCAATGCAGATCAGTGTAGCGACAGGCACTGAGTCAACATCTTTCTTCTCCAAGGATATCACTTCTTCTTTTATCAGAGGCTCTTCAGAGAGCTTTTCAGACAGTCTTCTCCTGGGGGGCACTGGAGGGATCCGAGCATGCTTCTGGAGTTTAGATTGCTCTGCGCTACATTCTGGTTTCTGAGCTGTGAGGACAAGGCTACTGCTGGATTCCTCATTTGGCTTGACTTTGTCCTTTGCTTCCTTTGTACCACCCAAGAACTCCTCTGTTGCTTGAGGCCGAGGTGGGATGGGAGGAGGTCTCTTGTACCTTGGCTGCACTGTGTTTGGAGTGTTCAAACTCTGGCTTCTGGTTATGGGAGGAGCTGCTGAAGGCAGGCTGTTGCAATACTCTTCGATAAAAATAGGATTGACATACCACAGCCTGTCATTTCCTATTGACAGCTCAATCTCACATGAGCAGTGACTTGCATCGGTCTGAAAATGCTGGCCTGTTCTCAAACCTCCGGCACTGGTGTTCAAACTTCGATCCCTCAAAGTATCTGTTCTCCGGTTCATAGAAGAGCCCCAGAAATCTGCAAAAGCCAAGGTGAAAAAAAAGTAATAAATTCTGTCTTAAAGGAAGTTACTTCCTTTGGATTGCTCATGCTTTTTCAATTGAAAATATTGCACAAATTAACAGCTAGCCATGCAATATCAGAAAAATTACAATACTACTAGTTTTGTAATAGTAGTAGATGTGTCTGTTAGTGGTTAATTTTGACAGTCACTATTAATAAGCAAAACAAAAAGACAAAGGATGGCGCAAATTCTCTTTACAGAAATATATTACACAAGTTGATATGACACCGAAACATTCAGCATTGCACACAATGACTGTGGAAGAGACTGTAAAAAATATTCAAACATGATGGAAGAATTTAAATTACCTATGTTAGATATGGTTTGGGTTCAAAAGTTAATTACCTTAAGTCTCCAAGGACCAAACTCTTTTTAACTCAACAAATGTCTTGCATAATTAAGAATGTCTTCTAAACACATTACATAAAATAAAAACAAACGGCCAGGACTAGGGTTGGAGATCTCTGCATTACACTGAGTGACTTGCTCATAAGCGCTGTGTTGAAGGCATTTTATAATACCCCTGTAAAATAGCCTGAGATATCCTACCCTGAGATGGGTGGTCTCAATGCTCTACACACACAAAATCAAATAATAATCCAGGATACTTTATTTGATGCCCTTTTCACATCAATAACAACAAGCAAAAACAAAGAAACAACACCCAACAGTACTAACACTGTGCACACCCTTGATGGAAATTTGAATTCCTAAACTCTTTACCAATCAACTAATAATGACCTAATTAATTCTTACTGTCCTTTAGGAGTGTATAGTGGCCTCTAGGTGCAGGTCAGCTGTTACATCTCTCTCTTCAGCTGACCAGCCACGCAGCCTAACAGGTAGTAATATTTAATCATTCTTCACACTTGTATAGTTCTTTTTTGGACAGTCCCCGCAAAGCGCTTTACAGGTAATGGGGATCACCACCACCAATGTACAACTTCCACCTGGATGATACAACAGCAGCCATAGTGCGCACGTAAGCTCACCACACATCAGCTATTAGTAAGGAGGAGAACAGAGTGATGAAGCCAGTTCAAAGATGGGGATTATTGGGAGACCATGGTTAGTAAAGGCCAATGGGAAATTTGCCAGTGGCTTGCCAGTTGTGAGTTGCAGGGTGATATAGCTGCTGGCATTAAGTAAAAACAATAATGTAACTCTACGTCACCCCTACAAATCTGGTGGGCCAATTACCAATGGACTTTTTCTATCCCCCCTCTCAAAAGACTTTTGAGCTGTAGAAGCATGACATTGTGTTTTAGTGTACATACAGTACCTGACTAAGATTTCATATTTTTTTAAAAAGCGAATGGGGTTTATTGAACTCTCTGAACCTTGTTCCAAGTTGGTGAAGACACGAATTTCAAATTGAAAAAAAAAGAAATACTATCAGTCTCACCTGAACCCAGGTTTGAAATTGTCTCCATGTCTTCATATTTTGTTGCCTCAATTATAACCTGGGGCAACTTTAAAGTAAAAGGAAGCACATCTCTTAAAAAAAGAACAAAACCAAAAATTACAGGATGTAACAGTACTTGGGTATTATGTGTGCTAAAAAAGCATATCACTAATATAAGTTCTGTACCTACAGTTCTCATGGTTTATGTTTTTTGCAGTGTGAGCTTCAAATATTTGTACACCTTGCAGATTTAATGTGGGAATCCTTCCTCCACTGATTCCTAGCTAACTTTAATTTTGACATAAACCAGGAGGTGTCAGTATAGACCAGAACATTTAACAATTCAAATTGAAAATTGATAGTTCCTGCTTGTTTTTATTTTGCTGAGCTGTTGCAATATTGAGAGCAATGCTATCACATAACACATAATGAACTTTAAAGAAAGTAATATGTCAGGCAAACAGAAAACAGCTCAACACACAGGAAGTGTGCAGCCAGCTATTGTGTACTCGATGCATTTAAAGATAAAGCCCAGCACTGAATGTCCCATAAACTGATATTCTGAATAGTGTTGTATCTAATCACCTTGGTAAGTGTGAAAATCAGCAATACCTGTATATTAAACCTATCCAAACCCCAATAAGAAGCGGGGCATTCAATCAGTCACTCAGCAAATTAGCACCTGTACTTCAATTTCTGTTAACTTTTGTAATAGAACAAAAATGCTCAGAGTTTTGAAGCTCTACTCAGAACACATGAATTAAACTGTAGTTTGAATGTCATTGTGGTAAAACATTTAAAGCCTGAAATGAAAAGGGTGACATGGAGCTCACTGTTTTCAGAAACAGACACATTACTAAGACTTTTGATACAGACTAAAACTGTGCCCTTTTTAAAGGACTTTTTAAAACTAATAAAGGACAGAGCAGATTGAACATAAATTTAATTTTTCAGACTGAGAACAGTGCAGTGTTAAAAATGTAGATATATTGTATATTATTTTAATGTCTGCTGTGCCTTAGGAGGTGCTCATATCATAAAGTAATTTAAGCAGACTAGCTAAATGACATGTTGATGTTAATAATCATCAGAATTCTACTACTAATAGTGATGTACTGTACATGTGTAGGTCAGGCTGTAAGAGGTAAACACCGGGAACTTTATTTGCTCTCAACAGAATGACTAAAAAATGAATATAATCTGTGGAACATGAACATTTTAAGGCTCATCTAAAAGATTATACATCACTCAGTGAGTGATGTAGGGATTTGAACATAATGGAGATGTGCAAAGAAATAAGAAGGAAAACAGCCAGCCAAGGTGTTGGTAACAGAAACTCAATCCAATTCAGGCGCTCTTACCTGCTGACACAGTAGAAAGCGATGAGTTTGAAGATATCGTCAAAGACCAGCACTGAGCCCTCAAGGTAGAGCACTGAAAAAAGTGAGAGATGGTTTAAGTTTAGAGCAGAGACAATAAGAAAGCAGCTAATCAAAAGCAGTTAATCAAACCTATTCTCTTTGAGGTGTGGAGGAGCCTGGTTTATCCATTAAAAACCCATGTAAACATCACACAAATAAGCTTTCAAGGTCAGAAACAAACCCAGGGGCCTACAGAGAGTTAGCAGCGGTGCTTAACATCACAACAGTGTAGTTCCTATCTAGACTATAATTTAATTCTTTATCACAAAGAATCTAACTGCAACAATCTGCTATAAGACTGTCTTAGAACATACTTGAGTCAACACAGATGCAGATCGAAAGGGAAAATGAATCGTTCCCTTCCATCTCAGTGTTGGTTGGGAACAAACCCCAGAGTGAACAGAGCACTGGCTCCCAAATTAGGGATTTGCAAAGGAGAGTAGAACTCACCAGACTAGTACTGTTTAGATATCAAAACCATGAGAAAGTCTCTCTGATTGTGCTGTTTTGGTAAATCAGACTTTTATAGTGCAGCATGAAAACTTCAATTTATGATAGATTTTATTTTACACTTCTATTTTATATAATTGTTTACGCTCATCTAACTTTCCAGTAAAAAGGAACCCGTGAAGATCTTCAAGGCAGACAGAGGCGAAGTTACATAACACTACTTAACCCCCCCAATCTCATTTCCTCCTTAATCCTCTGATAAATGTATTCTCAGGAGTTAATTCTGATCCCACGTCAGTGTGCCATGTCACAGTGTGGGCATTACAACCAACAGCCTTGGCAGAGTCAGAGAGTTACACAGAATGGGATGGGATATGCAGTACTTTCCAAATTAAAATATAGTGAAATACAGAACATATTGATGACTCCTTTAGTACCTTAAAGTATACAGTATGATTACGGCAATAGATTAAATCTAAGAATTCAGACCTGTGAACTTGATATTTAGAAGAAGGACCTACAGAAATTTCTGCTCTATGACTTGTTGCACAACTTCGCATACCAATGTGTTATAATTGTTGTCAATTCTTCTTGGCAGATCTGCTCAAGATTGTTGGAATTCCCATATCGCTTCTGGATAGAAGTTTCCAAGTTTTGTATCTGAACACTGGAAAAACACAGAGGGACACTAACCTTATTTTTAAGCCACTCCAATGCAGCATTGGCATAGAGCTTCAGGGTTTGGTTGAAATTCTTTACTAGGCCATCAGTTTGGGAGTGATACTGTATACAGATGTTCTTAAAAATTTGAGTCTAAGAAGACCTACAACCTCCTCCATGAGGCGTGAGGTAAAGGGAGTTCCCTGGTCAGTAAAGATCTCTTTAGGCAGTCTGACTCTTGTTAATAATTTTATCCCTCTCTTAATTATACTTCTGATGGCCCTACAGTGGGGTATGGCTTCCAGGTATTGTGAGGTATAATTGACAAATAAGATAAGATAAGATCACTTTATTAGCCATATACAATTTCTTGCATTAGGAATTTGTCTTTTCACATACCCCAGCTTGCTCTCCATGAGACACACAGGAACACAGACAGGGAGGAAACGAGCCATCAGAAACCCCAATTCTCAGATGTCATGGGAATTGGTGAGAAATGACGGAGCCTTCTTTATTCCAGAGTTAATCAGAGAAAAAGAAGAGGAAGAGCCTTCAATATTAGTGTGTGTCTGTGTCACTACCCCTTTTCCTCCGTGTTTACTGAACGCACAGATGACCTTTTTAGGTTTTATTTCTGGAAAAACAGCTGTTTCCAGTTTCCCTGAGGAGATGTCGTTTTTATTGACTTGTGAGCTGACAAATTGTTTGAATCAGGGAAAATCTTTCCTGAGAATAAGGGGATATGGTGGCCCCAGAGCAATGGCTCAGGAGGTTCAGGAGGACAGCAGGGTCACACTTTTGTCCCCCATGAATGCAGTGAATGGTAAGGCATCAACGATCCTCAGTGAGTGGGTTTCATCGCCTCTGGGGACACCAGACATAGGGCACTCCCTGAGTCAACTAGGGTTTATGTTGAGTGTCTATTCAGGAGTATCGATTCCAGGAATGAAGCATTTTGGAGGAAAATCTGTAGGTGACAATCTGCAAGCGTCATTTGCTGGTCCTTCAGGAAGGAGTGGACGATGTTACAGTCCATTCTCACGTCTTCATTGAGAAATTAATCTGCCTCATGTTCATCCGTGCCATTCTGGTCACTGAGATTCATTTTGGGTCTAACCCAGGAAGAAAATGGACATTCTTGATTTCAATTGGACCCTTCGGCTGCTTCTCATCTCTGCTCTGCTCTCCCTTCATTGCACAGTTCCTGACACAAAATAGAGGCACCCTTTGGATTATTGGCGATGTTGGCTGCAGAGAGGTGTCTCTCCAAAGGTCAGTTTGCATGACAGTTTGTTGCGCTTCAGGGAGCAAGTGTTGTAAGTATATGTTAAGGACTTTGCTCTACTGTTCAGCTCAGGGTTAATGTGAGCAGTTCCAACCGCTTTCTATGTAAATGAGATCAAACATTTGGGAGCAAGTGGAGATGCGGGGATCATAACACCACTCCTGAAAGCATTGTGCCTGGACCCATACAGTGACTCTTTCACATGCTAGAATCTCCTCTTTGAGACGCTTGTAATCTGAGGTGGCAGTGCTGTCCAGGTTATAGTAAATCTTTTGGAATTTGCCACAGAGAAATGGAGCTACAATACTCCAACAAAGGCTTGGATTCCCCTGCAGGTGTTTGATGGTCCTATTAAATACTCTGAGGTATGGTATGCTTCCATGTCATTTTCAGGAGTCATTTTTTGTAAAACATGACTAGGCTAGACTTGGACGTGTGCTGTGGGATCAGAGTCCAGACACATTGTTGTGATTTTCCCTCTCATTTTGCAGCATAGATCTTACTTAGCAGTGACCTGCTACTGTAGGTAGCGAGTCTGTGCTGAGGCTGCCACCTGGAATGTGGCTGGCTGTGCCTGCGGAGTTGAACTTGGTGTTATAAAAGTCATTAGCCTCCCACTTAGCAGCCACAGACGGAGTGAGGGTTTGGACCATTTCATATCAAGTAGACTCAATCAGTCTACCACTGTGACTTCAAAACAAATGCAGCCCAACGTTGGGCACCAAAATTTGACATTGCTTGGATTTTTAGGTTGTGCTCTTCACCGGCTTCATGTCTAATATCTCTCAAGGAAATAGATCGCTGGTGTGACATCACTCCATTGAAGGCTTTTTATTACCTAGTTAAGGGCGAGTGTTCTACAAGATTTACTTTCTCTGGTGTAGCGAAAGAGTGTACCAGAGCTGAGGACTCTTGTCCTGGTTGTGGCACACCTTGTTAGCCTTTTTATATAGCCCTCTGAATTAGGGTGTTGGTGCCAAGAGATATTCACATGGATGCCAGGGAAGAGCGAGATGGCTAGTTTTCTTGTCTCAGGGGCCCTCTGGTGGTAACTAGTGGACTTGGAAGGTGAACCTTTCTTCGCTTTGGCGCACATTATTATTGTTATTGTTATTGTTATTGTTATTATATTACAATCCTTCAACACAACATTGAAGATAATCAGAAAGCAACAACATGAAAACTGTGAAGTACCATTCTACAAAACCACATTTTTGGGGAGGTTCATTGAACATGGTGCTACAAAACATTGGTAAATTATTACTCTCTTCATCTTTAAATAAAATATTTTCTAATGTCAAACATGACTTTCCATGTTTACTGAGCCCCAAACTAAAATTTTATCAATTTTTTATGTTGTTATTGTTGATCATACCAGTATTCTGGTTGGTATTAATAATGACAACTCATGACTGAGCATCTAGTCCTCTTTAGGCAACCTGCTGTAGCTTAAGTTTAAAGCATGCTTACAAATGACTCCTCTCATTCTCTATGGAGAGACTATTAATGGAAACAGGAGGGCTAATGCATATTTGTAAAGAAATCAAATTTATATTTTCCACTGACGGAAATGCATTCATCTTTAGCCGAGTCAGTGGTTATCATATTTTGTATTTCCTGTTACGTTACCATAGGAACTATCTGTGAATGGTTGACCCTTTCGAGTGAAGCTTCCACTTTATTTTTAGAAAGAAAATGAAAGACAGAAGAGCACTGCCGCAATACACTACACCCCTGCCTCTGTCCACCTTTTTTAAAAATTTTTGAAAAATAAAGAACTCCCTTATTCTTTTCTGAATGAGACTGTCAGATACAGATGTAATTACATTGTTAGAAAGTAATACTGGTAGAAGCAACTGCAACAGTGTCTGCTCTGGCTCTGAGATCCTTCTCTGCACAAGAGTAGCACTGAAATAAAAAGAATCACTGTTCTCTGAACTTCCATTCAAGAGCTAAAACTGACAAATTTAAATACAGTATTGTACATACAGTAATGCTACTGTTTAAAATATAATATTATTTCCTTGTGTATGAAAAACTATAACATACTTTTCCTCAATTTTTAATTGAAAAAAAACTTTATCTACAGTCAGAGTACATGGCCTTTGCATAAAATATGTACAGCATACTGTATAGTGGTTCTGTGTAATAATTCTTGACTGGGTCTTTTATGCTGAGTTATATTTTAAACAGTGGAAACTCGTGTCCTGTTTCTAAAACATTCTCTTTTTAATGTTCACTTTCTACAGATAGGCAGCCACGTTCCTGAGTGCACTCTGAAATGTGTTAGGTGAAGCAGAATTCATGTGGAAATGTCAGGAATACCCTAGTTTTACGTATCCTCTCACATAAAAAAGAAATGTTCTCAGATCAAGGTGTCAAAGGTTTTATGGAGAGAGCTATCTGTACATCACAAACTTCACATTCTTTAGAGGTGCTCTTTTTTAGTCGACATTCACATATTATTGATTCTTTGACTATCAGCTGATGGAATAGGTTTTGAGATACTACCTTTTAGTAGTAAACTAATAAGGTTAGTAAACTCGGCTTCCCATCTTCCTTAATCTCATTAAAACCTACGGGTTTTCCTTAATCTATAAGGAAAGATAACAATGATC